ATTTTGCACCGATTATGAACATAATTTCTCCTACATTTTTGGTTGGATTTAGAGTTGATTTTGATTTTTAAACATACTTTGATATGCAAGTAGAAAAATTAGGCTTTGAGGGAAGTTTTCCCTGATACGAAAAACTACGAGAACCCAGAAATTTCCTCACATACTATTAAAAAGTATAGTTAAAGAAGCTGACGAACAGAGTAATGATTTGTCGAAAATATTGTTGTTAACTCACCGAGAAATAATAGGAGCGGATTTTCTCCTAAATTTGTATTTTTTACGGAAAAAAAAAATGACAAAAATCTAATTTTCACTTTTTTATTTTCTTTCGTCAAAAATTCAAGTTTATGGTATTAACTTAAACAATTTCTCATTTCTTTTTCAGGTCATTCTTCTGTTGAATTGCTTTTTTTATGGAAGTCAATTTGAACAAAGGAGTTTGGAAAAAGAAGTCTGATGAAACGTGGTGGTTTCCGAAAAAGTAGCTATAACTTTTACCATCTAAAACTGTTGTTGTAATTTTTTCACTGTCTCCAAAAATATATGGTCTGAAACATTTACATAAAAAAAAACCCAAAATTTATTTTTCACTATGAACGAAACCGCCATGAGTTCTACTATCAACGTCGATGCGCTCATTTTCCGAGAAGTCACCGGAAATGACGTCACCATTACGGAATAAAGAATATTTGCTCTTAAGAATTTCAGAAATTCTTTTTCAAATGAAGTTAGGAAATAGTTAGAATAAAATATTTTCCTTTTATATAAGAAAATTTGTGGGTAATAGACCTTTATCCTTCGGAGTGCTCCTAAGATGGTTGGCTGGGACAGAGTACTCCGTTTCTAAATTCACTTTAGGCAACGAAGTTTCTCCTCAAATTACCACTGAACGTCAGATACTTGTTGTTATTGCCCTCATATTTGAGTTACGCAACGCAAAATTAAAAAAAAAAAGGATTATTGCAGATTTTCTACTCCCTAACATAGCGAACTAACCCACTGTATCGAAACATGCTCGTCATAAACACCGCGTGTGTAGTACGAGTACAATAAATACGAAAATATGCTAGTGAAGGTGATACACAGGCGACGGGAAGGTGAATACAGGTAGTAAATGTGCTGCTGCTGTGCGTATGTGTGTGCACGTATGTGTGTTTGCTTTGGATGGAGCCGCCACAAATGGTGGCAGTGGTGGCTAGAGCTTATGGTGGTAGTTGTTGATTATGGCGAGGTGAGAATGTGACGAGAATCCATACACACAAGTATACATACGACTATACATTTGTGGGTATGTATGTGCATGCATATGTATGAAAACATACGAATAAAACCAACATTTCAAAGCAAGTGCGATAGGCGAGTTTCGTTGCGCTCGCTACACTTACGGATGCGTTTGTGTGTATGTATGTATTCTGTGTGCTTGTGAGCTCCAAAAGCTGCTACAAACAAATACAAATTGTATGAGTTTTTTTTCTGTTGAATTTTATTGCCGTTGGCATTGCTAATGTTGTGTTTTTCGAAAAAATTCACTGCTGTCTGTATGTACATTCATATATTTTTGTTATTGCCGCAAGTGATCGCGCTCGCGAGTAAATACGCACACACACACACGCACATACATCGAGAAGCAATAAATATGGAAGCAAATACAAAATTTTACGAAAACATGCAAACATACATACGAGCTGTGTTGGGGGCAGAGGGCGGTAAAACACGAAAAAATGCGCAACAACAAAAATCAACTCGCCAACGCCGCCACAAACCAGCAGGAAAAAAATATGTGGGGGAAAAATAGAAAAACAAGCGAACGCGCAACAAAATAATACAATAAAAAAAAAAAACAGAAAAACAAATGGCAACAAAGCGAGATACGAACCGAAACACAAAGTTACACGCAAGCGCTTACATACATATACATATGTATGTATGTATGTAGATATGTAGACATGTACATATGTTTATAATATATGTGTAATAACCACAAAAGATAACAACAGCCATAAAAGCTGCGGCAAGCAACCTTAACAACAAAAACAACAACAACAACAGTCGCAACGACTGACAACAACAAGTGCGCTCGGTGCAAATGAGTAACGCAAACATTAACAGCAACAGCAACACAAAAATCACAAAACACGTAAGGGAGCGCCAGACTCAATGGAGCCCGAATGAGCCCGTTGGCGGCGGGCTTAGCCAACTGGGTAGCACTGCGTACCACTATTGGGAAGGTCATGGGCTCGAGTCTTGTCCAACTGAGTGTATTTCTGACAACAAAAAAAAACGCCTTACAATGCCAATTTATCTGCCGTTCGAAGGGGACTAGGCCTCCATGCATTTATTGAGAAACATCCTTTTGGAAGCCACCTGTGCAAAGGATCCATTGCAAAGCTGTTTTTTGAATCAATTTTCTTTGAATATATCTCTCAAGAATGTCAAGAACCACACCGTAATTATGCTTCTGCCAACATATCTATCAGTTTCGGTACCCAACGACATATTTCTGTTTCGAATATTAAAGTAGAATTGTGTTCAAAGGTCATACTAAGAAGAGCGCATCAGAGCTGCTCCCAGGATTAGAAAAAGACTCGGAGGTATAGTGGATACCAAAGTATACGTATAACGTATTGTCTATTTAACTCACCTCCAAACGGGTGTTTGTTGATTACGTAAAGAATAGTTGATCTAGAACCAGAAATCGCTGTTGCTTGATGTAATAGAATCATTGCCGGGTCAAAATAACGGCTTATCTGTCAAAATAACTTTTTTCTAACTATTTTTTCAACAAAATTTCTGTTACTAATTAACAGTCGTAACTGTTGTTGTATCTTACATTTCTGTTTTAATTGATCATTCAATCTGTTAATACAACTGCCAAATTAATAATAGCAGTTCCATTGATTATTAAATTAAATTATTATTTCTTTCATTACTGGAAAATAAAAAATCGCATGACATTTATTTTAATTATGTTTAGAATATTATGCTTATTTATAGTATATTGAAACAGGTTATTGCTCTGAATGTTTTTACAAATTTATATACAGTTTTTATATATATTTATATTAAAGTTTCTTCCGAATTGGCTTCGGAGCTCATGTTGACCAGAGAGCTATCCATTTCCTCCTGAACGTGTACACTTTTTAACGATTTGTCTGTCTTGTATCTGGCAATAGGTCTATTGATGGCATTTAGTAGCTACGAAAGTATAAAATTTCGAGTATGTGAGAGTTTAAGTAAATATGTTATGAACATATTAGTATTTTTAGATTAAACAATAGGAGCTCTAATATTATTACCCATAATTGTTTTTGCGACCTGTACTATTAATTTTTTTTTTTATGTGTGAGCTAAAGAACTATTTATTTATATAAATTGAAATTTTTTTATTAACAACAAAAAAATGGCAGAAGTGACGGTTGTATCGGAGATCACCACATCTCCTCATCAGTTTTCATGTGGTAGGGATCGAACCAACGGATCCAGACCTAACTGGCGAGTGCTCTACCACTGCGCCAACATCAGCCATGAAATTTATTGTTGCATTCTCAAATTCATTATTAACCAACAACTATTAAGTACGATAATTTTACCGCTATTTTCTCAATAGCGTGGTTAGTATGTTGACATTATTATTCAAATTAACAGATTAGCGATTGGTTTGACGGTGATTTCTAGCAATAATTAACAGAAATGGTCCGATTAATATGTTAAAAAAACAAGGATTTCCATTAATTTAACCCGTTATTTCAATTAATGCTACAGATATCTATTAATTTAAAGGTTTTTCGTATTAACCCTGGGAGAGGTGTCCTTCTCCTCCTGGGACCACTTTCTCGAGCTCAAAGAGAAAATGATAAATTAACAAATAATTTGCGCGAAATGAAAGCTCGTCTATGTATGTGTGTATGTATTTTTTTTTAACGAAATTCGTGGTCACCCCATGCCGCATGTAATTTTGGCTACCAGCAAACTTTAAGCTAACAAAGTTCAAATAACTTCGACAAGCACTTGTGCTGTGTATAAAAAAAAAATTTGGTATTTTTGTCGTATTTTCCCGATTTTTGACGATCCAAGCAAGCCGCAACTACATCGACAAAAACACAATTATACATTAATGGCAGTGGAGACCCCGAAAAAAGCTGACACCATCGCACACACACACTCACATACTCTTACTCAGGCAGGCAGGCAGGCAGTCAGCCCGCGCATGCAAGTTGGCATGCATGTGGAGACACCGCGAGGGCACATACACCCGCACATAAATATGTATATGTGTATGCATATAGACACATAATTACCAGCTCATGCGAGGCAAAAGTCAGCCGTGCTGGTAAGAGTTGCCACACCACACATAGCAAGACGTGAACGGCGACCGGAGACAACAAGAAGAGGTACCGAGGGCGAGGTAAACGCGGGGAGGCGTTTGGAGAAAAGCACAGCTGAACAGCAGTTGCGGTTGTCATGCTTTTCTGTTTTCTGGTTGCCTTAATTGTTGTTGTTATTATTATTTCTGTTTTACTGCCAGCGCACTTTGTTGTTGTACGACATATTTAAATTTCTCAGTGGCCTTTTTGTTGTGTGTCCGTTTCGCTGCCTACTGTAATGCATTTTTCTGACTGCGCTCCAAGCTAAAACACACAAAATTCCAACTTAAGTATGTGTTGTGGTTGTTGTTATCGCTATTATTGCCTTGACTGCTGCTCAACTCAGCTTTATGACTTGCGCCGCTTTCCAAGTTAACTCGAGTCGTTGTTAATGCCCAGCGCCAGTGCCGTTGTTATTCCAAAGCTCCAGCATAACATGAAAAAAACACAAACACACAAAAACAAAACTGATACCGAATGAAGTCAAAACGAGCGACCAATAAAGTCATGCAAAACGAATGAAGGGCAAGAAGCGTATGCGATTGCGAGTGCGAGTAAAGTAGGAGCGCGCAAAGACAGCGAACCAGAGAGCCAGTTTTGAGCTTACGAGCAAGCAGCAACAGGCAGTGCAGTGGGTTCGCTGGTAAGCAGTGGTGAATGGAAAGTGCCGAGCATGGTGAAGTGTATCGGAAAGCAGCAGCAACAAAAACGCTCATGATTAGGCGCTGAGTGCTGAGGCGGTGCGGACGGAGGGGCCCAAGAAGTTAAGGTAACTGTAGTAAGAGTTGCGCTACGGCGCTCGCTGGGAGAGAGTAGGTAAGGTGCGTTAGAGACGCGAATACGGTTATTGTGACAGTGGCAGTGGCGTTGACAATTCGCTGTGTGACACAGCAAAGCATTTGATCGTGGAATCCGCGCTACCAAAAAAAAAAATAAATAAATAAAAACGTAGAAAAAACTTAATAAATTTATAGTGTGATTAGCAAGTAGAAATCAAGAATGTAAAACACAAACAAGTGTGATAACAATAGCAACTGAAAAACACCGTTGCACTGACCAAAGAATACAAAAACAAAAGAAGAAAAATAAGTTAGAATGTCAGTCGGTTAGTAAGTCCATTTCAGACAGTGGCAGTGCGAGCAAAAGTAATCAGCCACATTGGGCAACAACAACAACACAACACCAGCAGAAAAAATAAGCAACTCTTGCTGCGACCACGACAAGCTTTAACACATAGCTGTATATATAGCAACAACAACAGCAAAACCAGGCGATATCAAAGTTAGCAGCAGCACCACAAGCGTCCGCACACTAAGCGAGTGGAGCACAGAGCACACAACGAGTAGCGGCCACAGCAACAACGCGTTCGCTGCCGCGATGACAGCGACGGAGACGACGGAGCATGCCACACACAGTTTAAATATGTGAAATTAGTACAAATCGTGATTTCAACGGTGAACGACGAACGTACGGCGGGCTGCACACAACACAACACGTTGTTGCGGAACGGACGCGCAGGCAACACACAACGGAAAACAGAAACAAAAAACAAAACGAAAACACAATACCAAAAGTAAGCGAACAAGCAAGCAAGCAGCCAACCAAGCTCTAGCTATCAGGCGAGTAAGCAAACAAACAAGCAAAAAGTCAGCCAAAGCAAGCAAGCAGTCGACCGAACGAGCCAGGGAAACCACAAGGGGCGGAGGAGAAACAAAATAACAAAGCGAAACAAGCGAGTGAAGCAACAACAATAAAACGAATAACACCACTGCAGCCAACAGCACGAAAGCCAAGTAGTAGCAAGAGGAGCAAAAGCAATACCACATCGCCAGCATTGCTCCACGCCACAGCGAAAAAAAAAACTGCAAACACCTCCAAAAGCGCGAGTGCATGTCAGGCAAGCAGATATTCAGACAATCAGCGCAACTCTGGCAGTTTGTTAGTTAACAACACAACAACAAAACAGCACAACGGAATAAAAACAAGAGTGAAAATACAGCTGACGGCTGCACGACCACGTACGACGAGTCAAAAGCAAAAATCGAACCGCGCGCGCACTCATACGGCACATACCATACACGAGCGCACAGGCTAAATAACCTTTGCGTACGAACGACGCTAATGCGAGGCGAGTCGGATTGTTAGGCGAAGCGGAAGGAAACGTAAGGTTGCAGCGCCAGGCGAAGGCAACTCCACGGCCGCGCAGCTACTTGAACTAAACGGCTAGACAACGCAAGCCAAACGCAGCAACAACACGGCAACGCAGGACGCATTGCGTACGTCCCCCACTCCTAATCCCAACCCTGTAAGCCCACACGGCTATCCCGCCAGTCCTAACAGGCTAGCATTACACCAACTTGACAGTCTTTCAGCAGCCCACTGCTCCTCCCCCTTTACAACACCTACTAGTCGATTTCTACGTCGACGTCGTACGCGCAAGCAAAAAGTATATGCGATACCGAAAAAATTGCGGATATCAGCGAAACTAGATAAGCAAAGCGGCGTCGAGAGCAACAAAAAATCCACCACAAGCACCGCCATCATTACTTCATCCACTACCAACAACAACAGTAACGAAAACGGTGACGGCGACGGCAGGTGTACGCCTAAGAGCAACGGTTATTCGAATAACGGTACGACGCGTGAAGGAGACAATAAGCGTCCCTTAGCTGCTCCACCAAAAGTCGGTAGTGTGGTATCAGCGCTGGCGAGAACGAAAAGACAACGCGGTAGACGGCGGCACGTAGCTGGTACGCGTACTGTAATCGGTTACAATTTTGGCAAAAGAAAAACGGGCAGTGCTTTGGGAAAAACAACCACCTGTTCAACTGAACAAACTAACATAAGCAGTAGCGAATTGAAAGGCGACAATACGGAATCGCCAATCACAAGCGATTCGACTATAACTCCAACTGAAGTCTCTGCAAGAATATTGACGACGTCGCCCGCAACGGAGTCACAGACAACGGAGCAAAAGGCCAAAGAGCCTAAGGTTGAAACTGACGCTGAGGAGGCGACGACGACGACGCCCGTTTCGGCTGTGCGCCCGCTAGACACAGAAAAAGCTAACAACATTCCCCCGCCACAGCTAAGACGACGTCGCAAAGCGCGCCTTACCTACAAACGCGCGCCACCGACACCATCGCCGTCCTCCATGTCCCTGTCGGTGGCGCTGCCAGTACTACATGCAGCCGCAGCTTTAACGACAGGCGGCACTGGAACGGCAATTAACGGCAGCACTGGCGGTGGTGGGATATCAGCACTGTCACCTACATTTGGCGTGGGCGGCGACTCGCTTCCCAGCCCAACTAGCGATCGCGTCGAATGGTCACGTTCCACCATACTGGATTTTATCGAGGATTACCGCATGCATCGCGTGCTATGGGACCCCAACACAAAGGGTTACCACATCAAGCAAACCAAGTATGAGGCACTCAAGCTGTTGGGCAACAAATATGGCACCGAGATACGTTCCATACGCAGTAAAATTAAAAGTTTACGATCGTCATTTCATCGCGAACATGGCAAGGTGATGGTGGGTAGGCAAAAAGGTGTACACTACCAACCCATGTGGTTTGCATACGACGCCATACGTTTCATACTTGATGGCGAGGGCGGCAGCGGTGGTGGTGGTGGCGCAGCTGCTCGCGGTCAACACGCGCCAGCAACAGTGGTTAGCGCAGACGGCGAAGCGGACGAGGTAGAAGAGAAACTCGCCGTACTACGCGATGATAGCGTGGATGGTAATGGTGGTGGTGGCAGCGCTGGCGATAATGGCGTCGAACGTGGCGATGCGGAGAGTGGGGAAATGGATGATAAATACGCAACAACTATGGAGGCAGCAGTGCGCGCCATACAAGCAGCAGCGCTGGCTGGTGCGCGAGAGAGCGGCAGTGGCGGTGGCGCTGTAACGCCTGGAGCGAATGGAGCGGCTGTTGCGGGTACAACAGTTGATGAGTTGAAAGTCGAGGCGCAAGCCACAAGTGGAACGGCAGCGGGTGCAGCAACCAATGTAAATGCTACAAAAACAACAACAGCAACGACTACGAATGTGCCCGGCGCCGCACCACTACAAGCGCAACAGCTGCCAAACACTGTGGTGTATGGCATGAAGACGGCCGCAGCAGCGGCACTTGTGGCCAACAGTAAGCTTTTCAATGCAGCAGCACCAGTGACAACTACAGCTGCGGCAACAAGTACAACAACAACAACAAGCGCGACAACAACCTCAAGTGAATCGCAGGCCAACACGTCAACAACAACGGCCAATACGCACAGCGCGCTGTCAACGGCTGCGTCAACTGCAGTAACAACAACTACTGGTAGCGTGACATTATTGCCGCATTGCCTTAATAAAAGTAGCAGCAACATCAACAAAAATAATAATAATAAATTGCTTGCCAACAACAATAACAACAATAGTGTTGGCAATAATCTAAATGTGAACAACGCAATGGCCATGATGACAATGGCGACGCCGGCGTTAACAATCATTGGCAGCGCCGGGCTGGCCATGGGACTTGGCGGACTGGCGACAATGACAACAGCTAGCGGAGGAGGTAGTGGCGTAGGAGTGCTAGGCGGCGGCGGTGGCGGTGGCGCAACAGTTGGTGGCACAACAATGTCGCATGCATTCGGCGCCACAACACCGCTCTATCATGCCGCCACCGTAACCAATGCGGACGACGATGATGCGACCGCGGCGGCAGTGGTGGCGCGCATCGGCGCTGCTGTGGCGGCGGCAGCCGCTGCTGCTAATGGAAATCGCAATGTCGCGGCGGCTATTGACGAACTGCAGCAGCAACAACAACAGCAATTGGCTGCGGTAAGTAGAAGCGTATAATAAAAAGTAATTTTTAATATCTTTACATATAAATATACGTAACGTACATACATACACATACATATATATATGTATGTGCATATGCACACATTCATACATATATATACACGTTTGTAGGAATAAATTTTTGCTGCTGCTGCTGCTGCCAATAGTCGTCATGCTTCTTTTTTTATATTACTGTTATTTTGTGATGTTTTCGTTGGTGCTATCGATATTCCATTCTATTTGTTTATTTCATTTTCATTTTTATTTCACTTCGCCACTTGGTTTTTTTTTTTTGCTCTTTTTTATTCCATTATCTTTTTGCGTTTTGTATTCGCTGCGTTGACTTTCGTCAGCAAGTCGGTCTGCCTGTATAAATACATACATACATACGTGTGACGGTATGTAGTGTCATACTCGCATATTCATAGTTGTTGCTGTTGTATTAGTGGTTTGACTTGTTCGCATTATGCTGATGAGCTGTGCGCCGCCCGAAGGTGTGAGCTGCGAGTTAACATTAGCCGTGCGTGTAGATATTTGGCTGTTTCCACAAACATACATTCATATGTCGGTATGTAGGTATGTGTGAGCATGTGTGTTTCGTGCTGTGTTGAGCGGCGCGCCGAGTATGCTGCTTACCTTATTATTGCGCTGCAATGTTGGAGCATGAGGCTCTGTCATCACAGCTGCTGGTCGGTTGGCTTTTCAGTGCCATATGATTCGTTGTTATTCGTTTACCGTTTTCGTGTTGATTGTTGTTATTGTTGTTGTGTTAAGTTTTTGTCGTAGAATGAATGCATGGTTGGCGACGCGTAATTTAGCGACACAATATGAGCGGCCCAGCAGGAAAGTAAACTCTTTCGGTTACTAGCTGAGGCGAACGCCGTAGGTAATTGTCCAGTGCACGTCACTAGTAGCAAGAGTAAGTTTAAGAGTGAAAAAAATTTCAACATATGTACATTGATAAGTGGAGAAGATCGAAGTTTGTCAATTTTTTAAGAATTTTCAGCCTAATTATTTTTTTCTTAATAATTTTAACTAAATCTCTTCTAACGGCTTTGGTCATATCTATAGTTTTATTAAATTTACTTCCGACAGCTTTTTGGAAAATCAGCACTAGTCGGCTATGATATATTTAATTTAGGGAATTTTAAACAATGTCAGAGGCTAGACTTCCCTAAGAATATCTCAATATCTCAGTTTCCAAAAACCGAGCTTTCTTAGATACATAGTAATTTTAGGGAAGGTTACACTATTAAAGCTGTAAAGATGTTATATCATAATCCTGTCCACCGGCTACCTCGTAAAGCAGATGGAAACTTTCAGCTCGCCCGGCTTTTTAAGTAGGAAAGGAATCAAAATTTATTTGAAAGAATTCTTCATCTAAGATACTAAATTCCTACAGGGGGTTCGTGAAGTGATTTACATGGAAGGCGCGCATTTTGTGGCTTTTACATTCGACAAAAACGTCGTCGTCGCTTGTGAGCGTTGGCAGAACTTTAGCTTTGGCTGCAGTTGCTGATAAGCTCATGGCAACAAATATGCTTTTTACACTGAATTTTCGTGTGCGTGTGCGTGTGCATGTGTGTACACGGATGAGTATGTGTGTTTAAATATGTATGTGGTATGTATGTATGGATCTGTGTGCTTAAGTTATTAACATTATGCGTGCAAATAATTCTCACTAAAGCTGATGCAACAACGGCGACAAAAATGAATGCAACAACAACAATAACAACTACAGCCACACACGGGCTTACGAGTACTGCGTTGTTGAACTTGTAGTCGCAATCAGCGCTTTTTTATTTAATTTTAATTATTTTTACTTTTTTGTGTTAAAAATTTCTGTGTTGACTTGCATGACATTGTGTTACTTATCGTTGTTGTTGTTGCAACAGCTAATGCTCTACGCTCTTACACAAAGCAGCAAAAGCTTTTTTTCGATTTTCATTCCTCATTTAACTTTATGATTTGCTGTTAGAGAGCGACAATATAAAAAAGCTTGTTGACATGTTCGACTGGTTTTCACTTGCAGGCGCGATCCACGGCCGGAGCGGCAGCTGGCGGCGCTGGCACTACGACGACCACAGCAAATACAGCAACAGATTATGAAGCAGACATACAAAGCTTTTGTTGCAACATTAGCGCGGACGATGTGAAAACCGAAATTGTAAGTAGCGTCGGCGATTTCTCTCAGCTCAGCTGCCAAGCACTAGCCAATGACTAATTTATATGGAAATTTCTCTTATTCACCTTTACTTTTCGTTTCGTCTCTTTCCTTTTTTGTTTCGTTTCACACGCATTGGACGCTTCGTTTACAGATTGAAGGGGACACCGGTGAACTAGTCATGCTTGAACAACAACAACAGCAACAACAACAACAGCTGCAACAACAGTCAGTGCAGCACCCACGTTCGTGCAGCGTCACACCACTTACTGCCGCAGCGGTCAATTACTATAATTTGCCACCAATGGCCGAATTGCCAATGTCTTCCAGCGTTGGTGGTGGGCGTAAGCGTAAGCTGCTCGGCTTACACGCTGACATTGCATCGCCGTCGAAGAAAAACGCTCTGGCGTTGCAACAACACTTGCAACAACAACTACAGCTGCAACACCAACACCACCAGCAACAGCAACAACAGCTGCATCAACAACAACAACAAACACAGACGCAACATTCCAACGCACAAGCGCAGGCCAAACAGCGCGATCGTGATCTATTAGCTGCTGCTGCTGCTGCTGCGGCGGCGGCTGCGGGCGGTGGTGCTTTAGCTTTCGCCGCCGTAGGCCAAAATAGCAACAATGGCAATAATAACAACAGCCACGGCAGTAATATAAATAGCACGGGCAACAACAATAATAACAACAGCAACAGCAACAACAACAATAGCTTGCTCAATTTAAGTTCCAATCAAAATCCAAAGGCCAACGCCAACAACAATAACAATGGAAACAACACTGCCAGTAGCAGCAGCACCGGCAGCAGTAGTAATAACGGCGGCAATCCCAACAACAACAACACCAACACGCCAAACGATGAATATGGCGTATTTGGCGAATACGTTGCCATAACCATACGTAAACTTAAGACACCCAAGGCAAAGATTGTCATAAAGCATCTCATTAACAATCTGTTGTACGAAGCCGAGATGGGCAAGTACGATCATGGCATGCCATCGTCCAAAGAACCACCGCAATTGTATAAGATGTGATGTAAGGAGGCCGGGTTGAATGCGGCACATGCGACAACGACAACGACAACAACTGCCCCTCGCTCCACGCACAACACAAGCGACTTGAAAACAACCAAAGGCCGGGCTTTAAAGGCGGAAACAGTTGGTGATGTTAAAATATAAGGAAAACAGTGAACGAAAGTCGACGTTTTGTGGCGTGGTATATGGTACAGTTCTAAAGGTCGCCATTGTGGCCGACAAGCACCTGGACACTAGTCATAGTTGAAGCAAGACATTGCATAACAGAATACACTAGAACCAAGTAAAGTAAAATAAGAGGTGTAGGAGAGCAAAGCAAAGCGAAGTGATGTTTTTCAAAGCAAAGAAATTAAGTGCAAGTAAAAAATATTGAAACAAGAAATGTTAAAATATTTAAAAATCTGTAACGCAACAAAAGTGGAATGCGTTCAAATCAGGGAATTAAAAAATGTGAATTTTAAAAGTAAAAAACATATAAATAATACAACATAAACAAATATATTTATAGAACAAAGAACATAGAAAATAGCAAAAGCTTTTAGCAAAATGGAAAATGCGAAAAGTGAATTGCATAACTTAGCTAAAGGAAACGAGGAGGACGAGCGTCGCTCCAAAGCGGGCGGGGGAATGATAAGGAGGAACTATATATACATAGACCAACACACACATACACACCAACAGACCATACAATTTTACTACTTTATATACATTAAACTCAGGTGCCTTTTTGATAGTCAAATAAGTTGTTATTAAATATATACTTTATTGTATTTATCTTCATAAAAAAATAAATAAATATGTATAAATATTATAATCATTATATGTATATGTATATGTACAATACATAATTGCATTAAAAAACATATACATATACATAAACATATGTGAGAAAAGTTGCTTGCAAGCAAAACTTTGTAAAAAAAAAAATGCAAAAAGAAAATATTTACTAAATGAATTGAAAAAATGAAAATCTACTTAATTTTAACTTTATATATATATATATTTTATTTTACTTACAATAATTGTACAGAATATACCTTTTAAATTGAAATGTTGAAAATTGATAAATAAAGTAACATGGAATTGTAATGAATTCACTTAAGAACATTTGTATTTATTATATATGTATATTAGATACATAGTTATACTCATTAACATTTTGGACTGTCTGCTATACGTTACATAAGCCAGTTGGTCTTCTGTAGTGCCAGAGGTTTACTCAATCTAATTCCAGTTCTGTATAAGAGTCCCCTGATATTTAGCTTTTAGGCTTCTTCGAAATCTCACTGCTGGGAAACAATTAAGACCTGTAGTTAAAAAAGACTTCGTTGAGCTCTTTCTGTTGTGAAACTACTAAATCCCTAGTCCTGTCGTAGATTTCCTGAATATTTCACTATTAGAAATACTCATTAAGTAAGCGACATCTTTAATTGGTGACCTATCATTAGGCCTAACTTCTAGAAAGCACGAGAAAAAATTGTGTTATGCTCCTTCGCTGCCCGTATACAGGTTCTACCTTTGCTTATTGCGCTATTCGCAATTATTATAGCAGAGTATTCACCAAAGGCTACCGATCACGTAAGGGATATCCCAAAATATAGTCCTCTGAGTGGATGGTGCATCGAACTTTCCAAACGGTTTTCGATGTGAGGTTACTTCGCCGGGTTCACAACATCAACGCACCATATAGTAAGATTGGCTCGACCAACTCTGTTCAGTACCAGTGCATAAATTCAGTCCATATACCCTCGCACCGCCTATCATCCTCTTGCATATATACATTATTAGTGTTTTTCAAAATCTCATCTGAAAACACATTGTCAATACAATCAAATCAACCATGGAGCCTAACTACCTTGCAGAATGCTATTTATAAGAAAAAATAAAAGACATCAGCCCAAGTAGCTGGAAGCTGAGTTATCTCAACATCCCTTAAGGGAGATATGGCAGGTAGATATCAAAAATTTCTTTAGCATCCTTTCTTGCCCTCGAACGGGGAAATTTGATCTCTACAAGTGAGTAGGGATCTTCATAACAAATGCATCAAATGCTGAATACAATGGTAAGGAGTTCTGTTGGGTTGACTCAGGCTAGATCAGTCGACTTAAATGTGAATTTGTTCACAACTCTTATTCGCGATCGGAGTCAGATTATTAAATTTAGGAAAACCAGCTAGAATTATTGTCTTAAGCATTGGGTTCTTTATCGAGCCACTGTACTATCCCTTCCGGAAATTCTCAACTGTGGGATAACAATGCGTCAGATATGATTTTTTCTCAGAAGTCTTGCATATTAGTCGCTTAACCAATTAAACTTCAGATACCGACATCGTTTCATTTTCACACATGTATAAATAACGGTGTTTTTTTCGAAACACTAATTGCCTGTCGATGTTTCATGTAACTATAAAGTGTCGCATGCCATAAATTTCGTGCAGTCTTCACCAATTTAAAATTTTAATTTCTCCAAAAAAAAAAAAAAACTTTTAATGAATTTAAGTACATATTTACATCTGTACATATTTATGCAACCAAAAGAATAAAGTTTTAATTGAGTGAAGCCTGTAATTAAACAAATCAGTATGTCGCTCGATAAATCTCGGAATACGTGGAAGAAAATTAAAAATTTACTCATGCCGTAACTCAACAAATGAAATGGCCATTGGTACAAGGCAGCCATGACAATTTAAATAATTGCTCCCTTAGTCGTACTATGTACGTATGTATGTACATATTTATAAAAGTGTAAGACTTCACATTTTCCTGTGCTTCCATAATGAAAATTAATTACAAAACAGGAAATTCCTATGAAGGATGTGGAAATGAGTACAAGAAACGACAGAAATTGTAGCGAATAACGGCCGTAATAATTGCAACCCTTCAATATGGAAACAGCAAATGTTCGTGTATGTAGGTAAATAAGCGAGTAACCATCAAACCATCATTGCGCCAAAAACAAATTGAAATTAAAATGGCGTATGAAAATAAGAGAAGAAAAGGAAAGGAGCTAAGGGGGGAAGTATAAAAAAGAATATTAATTTTTGTACATGTACATAACCATATACACATAAAAAAAGTTTTATATAATATATAGCACATGCATGTATATCCTTATGTATGTGAGGAGATGCCCTTTCAGCTGCCATTTCCCGTGTACATCCGTTTCCGGTCATTAAAATAACGTAAAATTAAGACTTGCGTTGCTATGCATACTCGTACATACACATACTCGTAAATACACATATAAATAAACACATTGCAGTAAGACATATTATAGGCCTACAAATCGAGCTACAATTTACATACAGACATTCCAATGTATTAAAAGGAAAATTTTGTCCATGTATCAGGCCCAAGTGTGAGATAAAAATAAAAGTGCCGTTAAAGCGGCAAAGGTATGAAAATTTGTTAATAAAATTTTTGGAAATTCATCAATGCAGCTTTTTTATGTGTGCATAAATACAAATATGGGTGCACCCTCCTACTTACATATATAATACCCCTTTTAAAGGCCACGGTGACAATTGACCCATTTTCAAGGTAAAAAATATGCCCACCGTCAGGACAAGTTGAGCTTATATGCAAGAAAGGTGCTTCGAAAATTTATTAATTTCCACAACGAAAATGTTTTAGACCTTTATTTAAATGTAAAACAACAACAAACTTGGGTATTTAAATGCTTTTTGTAAATTAAGTTTTCTATAACAAATTTAAAACACAAGATATTGTTTATACAATATTATGTATACTTATAACATTAAAAATTAAATTAATAATAATATAAATAATATAAATTCATTAAAAATTGAATTCAATAATTAAGTGTTAAAATAAAACTAATAAGTAAATATAAAATAAAATGAATAAGAAACAGTATTTAAAAGTTAAATAGAAAATAAAAAATAAATAATTTAAAAATATGCCTTATTTGGCAACAAGCAATAAATTAAATATTATAAAATAAACTACAAAAAATAAAAGTTATAATACAATATAGTATGAAATAAAATAGAATAATATAATATTAATTAAACAAAAAATATTAAATTAAATATATTTGAAATAATACAGTAATTAAAATTAAATTAAATTAATTTAATATAAATAAAAATTAAATAAATTGAAACCAAATTAAATTAAAGAAACTAAGTGAGAGAATATAATAAATCACGTAAGTGAAATAAAGCAAAATAATAAAAAAAATAAAAATAAAAATAAAGCAAACCAAAATTAAATTAAATTAAACAAAGAATTATATCGCATATTATAATATGAAATAAAATATAATAAATAAATATAATATATAATAAATAAAAATAAATATCTTAAAATAAAATAAAAAGGTAGTAAGACAAAGTAAAATTAAAATTAGTCAATTAAACTGCATTTCTTTGTTTAATAATTTTGCTTTGATAAAAATAATAAAATAACAAATTAAGAAAAATCAAAATATGGAAATAAAATTAAATCAATATAAACCAAAATTAAATAAAGTGAAATAAAATTTTATTAAATAAACGAAGTGAGAGAATATAACAAATCAAAGATGTGAAATAAATCAAAATTATTTGAAAAATATTTAAAATAAAAATAAAAAGTTCATATTTGTAACTGCAACAAACGCCTTCAATTACTTTCTAAAACAAATCTGCGGTTAACTTAAACGAAGTGCATTTGAGCATAAATTCTCATAAAACTTCCACAATTAACTCAAACCCTCAGCAGCCCATATACAATAGAAACATAGTTACGAATACTTTTATGCAAAGTTACATAAATTTCTTGAACTATACAAAAGATGTGCATCTGAAAGAATACACGCATGTATGTATTTATCTAGATATACACACGCGTATACATAATAATGATATATTTGATAATATGTGTATGTGAATGAAGGCATTCAAGCAACAAAAGTCATTTTAACCCCAACCAACCAAGTGTAAAAATTTCCATACAACAACACAAATTGCCTTACAATGAAAGTTAAGAAAGACTTTTGAACAATTTTTGCTATCAGTTCCGCCTTCCCGGGAAAACTTACATCCTAACGCCACACATGCACAGGCATGTACATGCATGTACATACAATTTCATTTAGAAATTGAAACTGTGTGAGTAATGGTATTTGTTGTAAAAAGACTTGAGTAAGAACACGCATAAAAAGGATTAATTGCGCACAATTAAAGGTAATATATTGCCAAGAAGAAGGAGAAGGACATGTTGAATAAGATCAAATATTACAAAAGAGAGGAAAATAGGAAAAATTTCGATGTACCTACGAATGTACTTATATACGTGTATGTTATGTACTATTTATGACACACGCAAAGGCATTACATTTCTTTAAGATATTCAGAATTCTACCAAACGAATAGCTAGAGCTGTCTAGTATTAATTTGTATATATAATATTTGTATATACATACATATATGTAGCATGTACATACTATATGTATGTGTTATATCTGTATTTAAAATTTAGTTCGCAACGAGAGGTTTGTTGGAAAATAGCTATATGTATACTAGGCTTATATATATGTATTTATAAAGGATATGTATGTATGAATAGAGATGTAAGGCTGTTTTATCACTCTTGGACCGATATTCTTCTAGAAATTGCTTTGATATTCTCTTCAAATTGATAGACTTATAAAATTTATCATTAGGTTTTTTGCTAGAAATTGTTTAAAATGTTTTTAAAATATTTATAAATATGTACGTATGTATAGACATATTAACATATATGTAAAAAAAAATTATAATTTATTTGAATTTGCATAAATCTCAATTTTATTCACGGAAACAATTTCTTTAAACTTTCAAAGCAACTTTAGCAGATTTTAAATTCTTCAAAATTATGTGAGGTTATGTATAAACATGGCTTCCGTGCACTCACACGCAGGCATATGCAATACTATATGCAATTTGTACATACACATACACAGTTTAT